GTATAGGTAATCGCATGGGGCCGAGTAAAATTAAGGATTAATATCACGCGTGTTTTCGGAAGTTGCTGAAATTTCTCGAGTCGCGCAACTCTTTTAATGAGCCATTACTTTTTATTTTAAGTTAGAATTACAATGGTTCTCGTAACTCGCCGTTCTTAACAATTCGCACACAAGAGAGACTGTTATTTTTACTTTTTTACGCTGTTAGGCTGAAAAAGGTGAAGAAATTAGTATAGGTAATCGCATGGGGCCGAGTAAAATTAAGGATTAATATCACGCGTGTTTTCGGAAGTTGCTGAAATTTCTCGAGTCGCGCAACTCTTTTAATGAGCCATTACTTTTTATTTTAAGTTAGAATTACAATGGTTCTCGTAACTCGCCGTTCTTAACAATTCGCACACAAGAGAGACTGTTATTTTTACTTTTTTACGCTGTTAGGCTGAAAAAGGTGAAGAAATTAGTATAGGTAATCGCATGGGGCCGAGTAAAATTAAGGATTAATATCACGTGTTTGCGGAAGTTGCTGAAATTGCCCTCGTCGCTGCGCGACTCGGGCAATTTCTGCAACTTCCGAAAACACAGGTGATATTAATCCTTAATTTTACGAGGAACCATGTGATTACTTCTTTATAATATAAGGGGAAAAATGTTTTCTTACTGATCTCGCGCAAAACGGGACGCCACTGTTACAAAACAAACGGAAATTTCTTTACCTTGGCAGCCGTTGCTAAGCGATTTTCAGCCAATCATTTTCAAGTAATTTTGCCCGGGGCAATTACAAATATTAAGAAAAAATGCCCTCTGTCTTGACCAATCACAATTCAGTAATTTTGCCCCTTATATGATAACACGAAAAACGCACAATCAGCCAATCAGACGCGCTTATCTTTTTTATGTATATAATGAGATTTGTAATTGATAACTATACCGTACCTTGTAATGCCTATCTTGAATGTCTTTCGTTTGATCTTTAAGTCCAAGATCCAAGTCGAACTTTCTGTCTGCAGGAGGATCAGCGAACGACCCAACAAGACTGCCAACAGACTGAAACACATTCATGGCGTGCTCCAGGAAACGACAGCTTTCCTAGGGAAAGCATTGACGAGTTAGGTCATCATTAGACAGCCAAGTTTGGCTGGATACTTGTAAAAAACGCGGCATGTTTATTGAAATTCAAAGAAAATGTACTTTTTTCTTCTAATAAAAATAAAATAAGAGAAAATAAAAATATCCCAGACAACTTTGTCAACTTAATGGTACGAAGAATTTTTTGCACCTGATGCTACCCTAAACTGCTGAATAAAGATTTGACTCTGAAGCTGTGGTACAAGTGTAGGTATTAATTAATTTAATGTATTAATTAGTACAGTCCATGTACCTTTGTAAGACAAGCCATTACTGTGTCTTCGTCTCCATAAACAAATGGCGTCTGTGAAGCCATTTCCACGTGATAACCGTGACAGGCTTGGACAAGAAATCTCAACACGTGACGCCTACAAAGATACGTGTGATAATGACGTAATCAGAAGTTGTGTTTCCTGCTGTTTCAATGGTGGTTGCGAACCTTGCTTTTCGCTCTGATTTTGTCTATAGTTCCAGAGGCAAGAAAGACTGATAACTAAAATTCCACACTGTTGAAATATCTTTACAGAGTCTGTCTGATTGGTTCATCGGTTTTGAACTTCACGCGAAAATTATTCCACAGAACAGAAACCGCAATGGTCTCTGTTCACTAGATCATCAACTTGAAATGTTTCGCAAAAAATTCCTGACTTGTCGTATCAACGAAAAAAGTTCATATAGCGAGAAAGACCAAAATTGAAATATAATTTGATACAAGACTAAAACGCAAGTTTCGCTAGTTTACTATCAACCTACCCTGGCGGAAGAACAAGAACGGCTGCCTTGGTGCCTGAAGTGCGGATGCGCAGAATTGGCTGACCCGTCACCAGGCTCTTCCAAGAGTAAGGCTCCGCAACGAGTAGGCCTGGGGTGGGTGGTACCGGTTTCTCCTCAAACTGAGTTGTTTCCCTAGGATCTTGTCGAACACAGAGACAGAAACATCAACTCGGTAACACAGAAACATTGGTTTACAATATACAGAAAGTTTCCCGCTCAAAGGTTATGATAGTTAACAATCTTATTTCAAAATATCTAAATAGAGAACCTTTGTCATACCTCGGAAAAACTGTGGACCTAAAAAACTAGTGCACTTTTCAGTAACATGCAAACAAAGAATTATCACAAATACATTATACGTTGCTGCCAATAATGGTTTAGATTTCTCAGGAAACATATGGGTTGTTTGTGACAGGTCAAAAAGGTGACCTTCCAGTGTTTTGATAAGGCATTTCGATCCATTTTGTTCGTTTTTACGGTTAAATGGCCATTACGATGATTCACAGAAGGTTTGGTTCACAACCTCAGAGTTCCATGTTACTGAATGACGCAGTCACATGTTAAAATAACTTCTACAATCTACACTGTAATATCAGTGAAGACGTTGCTATAACAAAATATAAGCCCTGAATCCAAAGAACTTACTACAGCTTACTGTAAATTATTTGGTTGACGTAAACAGCAACTTGTTAATTACAGTTAAGGCATATAAGTGTAGATTGGATGACAATGAGACACACGGCTGTATTTCCTTATTCTCACCTGTTACTACGCTATTAGAATCCTTTTCCTTCTCCTTGTCCCTTTCTCTGATAATGGGCTGCGGTGGATCAAGCCACCTGGAGAACGCAGTGAAGCTTACCACAATTTCGACGAGTTTCAGACTATCAACAAACAGGAACGGTGGGGGAGGGTCTTGATTTTGACTTTGTCCCCCAAAGGAACCATGATATGGTGACGGACTGAGCGCTGTGGCCTTGCCTGGTGAAGGCGTGGTTGCTGTGACTGACGAGGTTGGCATCAGACCTGACTTTTTACCAACATGACTGGTCATGGCAACATTCTGGAAGTTAACAAGATTAAGGCCACAAATGAAAATATATCATAGAGATAAGCTTAACAAGGAGGTGTGTGCTGGATTTTGTTGGTCCCCTGTGCGAGGGTTTGAGGGAAACATGAGGATTGCAAGGGTAAGGGTTAGGGTTTGCCAAGAAGTTAAGCTTTCTGGGTCAAAAAAAAAAAAAAAAAAAAAAAAAAAAAAAAAAAAAAAAACCACAAAATGCCTCGTTCGCGTCACAGTCAGGACTCGAACACATGGCCCTTTTGAACCCGAGGCCCTCGTGTCAGGTGGCCATTGGGACAACGCGTCTTGCACACATTAAAAAAAGTGAAATTACTGTGAAATTTCAAAAAATCCTTTCATTAAAACGTTAGAGTGGAGTTAGAGACATAAACGCGTAAGACGTGTAGAACGAAACAATTACTGGGTGCTTGGTGGAGAAATTAAATAGGATTATGTGGTCGTGAGGGAAAGAGGTGAATTGTGATAATTTCGTTGATGATGAAAAACTCACAGATAGCAAAGACATTTCACTTTCTTGTCTTTTAAGCTTACGTCCCATAACAGAGGACATCTTCCTTTCAGATGTCACGGAATTGTGATGATGTTGATGATGATGATGATGATGAACATTAATAGGAATGAAAACCCAGCTCTGACGATAATTAATGCGTTAGTATGTTAAAAAGCTTGTATCAGTTCACCATAATTTAACACTTGGATACTATCTTCAATAGCTAGTATGTGGTGATCGTCCGAGGGAGAGTGGTGAGAGTAGATTAACATGGTAATAACTTGAGGAAACAAAGAGGACGCTAAATGTACAATACCGCTCTCGTGCATTACAGAATAATTACACGCACTTAACGTCCGAGAAATTCTCACCCACGCACGCACACTGCGTGTCACTACATGCACCTGCGTGTAATAAAAAATGCACGGAGTGAAAAATGCGTATACATTTCCCTAATTCAGTCAACTAGAATTCGTTAAATGCGTGCAAGGAGACTAAAGTGCGTCATAAGAACTCTAACGAGCATGAGCGAGTCAATGAATTCTGTTGGGTTCCTCGCGAGTTCCTACGAATTACACGAGCTTAGCGCGCGTGTAGGTGCTGCGGTGCACGCGGGCGGTATTGTCGGTAAAACAGTTTCTAACGCTAAGCAGCACTATCAGCTGGATGATTACACTTAAATAACAAACAAATCACTTTTGAGAATAATAACGACGTCATAAAATATGAGAATTAGTGTACATAACGGGTTAGTTTTAAAGAAACGTTCTAAAACTACACAATCAAAGTCCGCCAAAGTGAACAAACATCAGGCAAGGGTTGAGAAGGCCCAGTTCCTGACAAACACTGCACCAAAATTGCTCAAGAAAGATGAAACAGCGACAGGCAGAGGGTAATCACTGCATGTTGGAACCTGCATCTAGCGCATAACAGATAAGGGGTTGAAAAAGTTCAGATTGCTTTTAAAAGATCAGCAAGAAATCCCAAGTTGAAAACAGCGACAAGCAGAAAAGAAATGGACAAAGCAGTAGAAGATATAAGTACCTCTGAAGGGCTTGAGCAAGTTATTTCCACTTCTGAGGTTAAAGATTGGTTCAGAGAAGAACACTTATCAACGCGAGAGAAGGAAAAGAATATATTGTCAGAGAGTGCAAAGTTACATTATGTTATCAAATTAGCATTGTCTTACATTATTATTATTAAATATAAACCAGTTGCTACTCAAATACACTGATAACTCTAAACATTCGATACCGATGCTCACAAATAAACCGAAAAAAAGGAGTTAAAGTTATCTTTGAGATGTTGTTAGCTGAGTAATCCTGATTTAAACGAAAACTTTTTCGTTACTTTTTCCTCTTTCCAATAATTAAGTAACCTACCTTAAAGCTTCATTAGAAGAAGAAAAAAAAAATGAGAGAAGATCAAGTGAGGGTGCAGTATTGTAAACACTTTAGGTAAAGGCTTTATTTCACGAGGGCAGCTTTTTCAACACTTTGACAGCTAAGAGTGACTAACATCTAATTTCTCCTTACAATATCACCCCTGAATCACACATTAAAGTCAGGAGAATTAATGAAATGATCTTCAAATAAAAAAGACCTTGACTGTTAAACAAATTCTCCTTGTCAGTTTTATAGGCAATTTAAAGAGAACAGTATGGAGAATATGCATACTGATGTTGGGTGGAAAGATACACGGATTCGCACCCAGGGAAAAAACTTGGTATTTCGACATGATAGAATCAGGACAGAGAAGAAGATTAGGAAACAAGAAACTACTGGGCGTTCACATATATTGACAAAAGAAGAGAGACATTCAATTTGTAGACTTCCGTTGACAAACTCACTGTAAAGAATCCAGACGGAGGAAAGGAAGAAGGACAAAAAATGAGCTGAATGTTTTAGCTGTCTACATTTATTGTATCTGTAGAAATGACAGAAACTACGTTTACAACTTATCCTCACCTTTAATTCAGAACTTCCTTTGCTATAATTGTACGTGTTAGGTTTGTGGAATATATATAAATGCCTGCAAAATGTAAAAAAAAAAAAAAAAAAAGTTGTATAATAAATAAATGAAAAAATATATGTAGGCAAAGCCATATTTCTTCGTTATCAGGTCACAAGAAATGTACCTCCAACAAGTTGAATTTATGATTGCATAAGACCAAACATACGTGTTTTTTTGTTTTTGTTTCTTTTTTTACTTTCAGAAGCGTATCCAGTTTCAGAATTCATGTTTCAGCCAGAACTATGGGGACAGAGCGCTTTTCAACAAGTGTCGAAAAAACAAAATTAAAGCAATCCCAGCGACCAATCAAAACAAAGATTTACGTTATCGTTAGCCAGTGAAAACAAGCAAACTGCTTACAGCGCGGGAAAAAACGCGGATGACCAAGTCGCGATTGTGGAGGATATGCTGCGGGTCTTTTTTGGACCAATCACAGAACAAACTCAGTAAAACCAAAGCTACCATGGATTACCTTTGATACCACTGAAAATTGCTATAACTAGTTACTACCAGGGGACCATAAGAGTAAGTTCATGACAAGCCACGACTAGTGAGATCTACCGACCTAAAACATTTGCAAAAGTCAGCGTAATCCATCCAGATTTTCTTGTCTTTGTTGTTGTTTTCTTTAACCTTCTCACCATCCTCGGTCTTATCTCCATCAGTTTTGTCATTAATTGTTTCTCCCTCAGTGCCATCGCCAGGCGTTTTGTCCCCATCAGCAAGAGAACCAGGCAAATCAAGCACGGGCAGTTCATCTTCGCGAATAGTCTCCACTTTGTGCGACGAGTCCCTTTCCAGTTCTACCTTAACTCCTTTTTCAACTCGTGAAATTCGCCTCGTTTCAGGCGGCGCTAAAATGTAAGACATTCAAATTGTACAACCGTGTAAACACCCGTTAAATTAAGTTTAAAAGTGAAAATTTTTAGCATGCTTAACTCTGGATCAAAAGTACAAATGGATTTTAAAAACGCAATGTATAGTGTAAGTTAATAGGTCGGTCAGTAAGTAACGCAGTAGCAGGCCTCCGTCTGTCAGGGTCGACCATGGGTATAGCATCCTAGTTGTGTGATTGGCTGGAGCATCGGCGACTATAGCATCCTAGTTGTGTGATTGGCTGGAGCATCGGCGACTATGACTGTGAAGACCAATGCGTGAATGGCAGTCCTTGTTGCAAGTGTTGCATGTGTATGCTGTCTGTTGGACAAAGCTGACACGAAGCTTTCTACGGGCCCTCCTCTCTGTGGCGGCTTGTGTCAGCTTCTCCTCTCCTGTTTTGAGGTGCTTGGTCACGGTTCCTCTCCATTGTGAGTGGTAAGTAACGTAGATTGAGTAATTAAGAATGTGTTGGTGTTAAATTGTATTGATATATGTTATAGTTATTAATTAAAAGCAGACATAAGTTCTAACCCGATAAGAAAAAAAAGAGTAGTTAGCCTAATTTTTAAATTTGCTACGTACAGAACTTGAAAAATAAACTGTGCAGTGGGGAAAATAACAAAAAAAACCCCAGATAAACAAAACAAACAAACAGACAGACAGACAAACAAATAAACAAAATGCTCTCACTTTTGATCATATCTCCGGGTTTTTCCATCCTTGACATTCTTCGACTTCCCTTGGGCGACAGACCACCCGACTTGGTTCTCTCTGGTTTGTCCACAACACTCAGCTTACTGCCACTTCTACTTTTATCACTTTTGTCAGGACTTTTAAGCAATTTATCTTTCTCTCCTTTATCACTTTTTGCTGATTTTTCTCTCTCTTTTAATTTAGAAGAATCCTTGATACTTGGACGGTCTCGAAGGTTTTCGCGACTCTCTTTGCCTTCTTGATCTGGTTTGAGTTCATCGGTCTCTAGTCTTGGAGTTGAACTCTTGGATTTTTCGTCCTTGATAAATAAACCAGAAAAAAATATGGATGTCTCATCATGTACACAAAGATATAAGCAAGGGTTTTATCAAAAGCCGGTGACCAGTGGTTTAACGTCATCTTAGGACCTTTGACAGCCGTCTGTTGAGCCCGCGAGTAGGCTCTCGTGTTTTGTCTTTCGGCCCGTTTCCGAGCATAGCGACCTATTACTTTACACCATCGGCAGTCGCTGAAGGAAAAAAATTATTGAAACCCCCGTACCTATAGTGGTGAACACATACAATATTTGCTCTACGTTCTAGGAGTTACAGTGGTTTAACTTATCTTTGTGGAACGCTGTTATTGAAACACTTTAACAGCTAAATAAAAATCTCTCATCAAGTATTTTTTGTCAATTTTTGTTTCACTTTAAGATCATTTTCTAAAACTTGTAAAATTACACGAGTGTAGAGGGGAGCTACAGAGTAGATCGATACTTAGAGTGAGTCTAAACACAAGGTATAAATAGTGACACACATGACCAGCATATAAAGCTTCTCAGTTACAGCCATTGGAATGCCACAAGAATTATTGTGGCATTTCCTTTTGTACCTTATTTTTTCTACAGCAGGGCTCATTTGTTCGAGGGCTGATTAGCGCTAACCCAGCCTTTTTAAGGATAATTTTCTTTAATCCTTTTTAGAGAACCCAAATATCAAAATTGAAAGCGAAAATAATTAATGTGAATTTACCATTAAAGCTTTCAGATCTGAAATTAAATTTCACATTAACTGAGTTATCTTAAACCAGCTTTGAACAACCCGGCCCAGGAACGTATCTGTACAGATCAAGGACAGTGGTTATTATGGATTATTAAAAACTGGATCATTGGATAATGCAATTCAAGACTTTTTATTGGCTCAGCCATTATGGTATATGAGCCAATATACCATAATCTAATTTTTGTACATTGTTAAATCCGGTTTCTTCTCACAAAATAAAGTCGAGAATATTTGTCTAATAACTTGGGGGCGTTTTTTTAATAAAACAATTATTCCACTCGCGTTTGTTGGATATGAGATGATTAAGCCAACGTGGGCTATCTATCATTTCATATCCAACGCGCGCTCGTGGAATAATTGTTAAATATGAATTCTACTGTACCTCTTTAACAGCAGTACCATCTTCATTGAGCCCTTCTTTCGTTTCACCTCCCTCCCCACCCTCTGTCTTTTTTCCATCGTCCTTATCACCTTCTTCAAGTATTTCACCCATCGGCTTCTCAGGACGATATTTTATCCACCTAACAGGGGTCCTAAAAAAACAAGAACACCTTTTGAAGTTCTAAAAGCCACTTTTACTCTCGTCTGTGTAGTACAATAATTTACAATGACTGGAAGATATAAATGCTTTCTGCACGCGAAAACACAATAGACATGAGCGCCTGCGTTACATGTGTACGCTAAACTTTTTAAGAGAAGCATCAAGAATGGAAGATTGTTACAAAAAGTCTTTCGTACACTAAAATTGCAGGCTCAAAAATGGAAGATTGCTACAAAAAGTCTTTCGTACACTAAAATTGCAGGCTCAAAATGGAAGATTGCTACAAAAAGTCTTTGTACACTAAAATTGTAGGCTAACATGATATTTTAAACACTTGTAAAATAACTTTTGGTACAGTTAAAACGCTAGCTCACTAAACAACCGATCGGTTGATGATTTACCGATAGAAGTCTTACCGATCAGAAGTCAAGTTACCAATCGGTAAATATAATGGCCCCATTAGGGGCTAGTTTTTAATCATTATAAGCAGGGGTTCGTTTCTCGAAAGATCCGGTGACTTAACGGGTTCGAAAAAGGTGACTTCTGTTTTTCTTGTTTCATTCAAGATCGAGATATTGACAATTTTGAAATTAAACAATAAAAATATCAGGAAACGAAATGGAATGAACTGGTTCCTGAGCTAAAATCTGCCCGATATCTCCTAGATTAGATTTAAAACATTTCGAAATACTACTTCGGGTCCGTAAAGTTACCGGGACTTTCGAGAAACCGGACTCAAGGATAGAAAAAGCTGTACAGCCACGCAAGATGGAAGCTGAAAGAAGAAAGGAAGAATAAAGAAGAGAGACTGTTATTTGATATAAAGTTTTTATCGACTGAGTGGAGTCGTGCCGAACGACAGTGCTTCATCTGCACGTCATGACCGTCCAGCCAAATATTAGGGACCTCAAGAAACCACGACGGCGACGGCAACGAGGGCGTGGAAAAACAAGAGATCTAATTGGCAGAACAATAGCTCAGCACGTGCATTTTGAAACTTTGTACATTTCTTGGCCGTCCTATGCAAAACAACAACGTGAAATCGCCAAAATTTGCGTCGTCTGCGAACGGAAACCGCGACGGCAAATTATTTTAATTTCCATTTGGAACTCAAAGGCTACTTTATACGTCATGCTGAAGTTGAGCTGTGGCGCTGTATGAGACAGTAAGCTCCTGCAGCCATTTTTAAACTCTAACTAAGAGTAGAAATTCATTTTTTAATCGAAGTCTTCCTTGGCGTCGCCGTCGTGGTTTCTTAAAGTCCCTATTATCCCGTCCAGCCCTCCCAGTCACCAAAAAAGTACATAGAAAGTAGTATCACATGTATTTGATGCTCACATACCTCGCTCTGCTGACAGGTATGGGGCTGACTTTGTGATTAAGAAAAGGAGATACAACTTCCAAGAACTGTGGATCCTTAGGAGGCTCCGGGGGAGTCAGTGCTGGCTCCACAGGCTGCTTTTTCTTCTTCTGCCGAATGAGCCTCCATCGAGGGATCTGAACCGGAGGCGGAGGAGGAACCAGGGGACAGTCCCTCACTGTTGTTAGCATGACAGGGTGCGGGTGGTTATGTGACAGACCAGACTGTCGCAGTTTCTCAGATGCATCAGCCTGGGGGTAAAGACAGCATTACTTTCTGAAAGTGTTCAGGTTATAGAGTTTTGTGGAATTCCAGTGTAGTCAAGGCTGACCTTTAAAAAGAGTACATCAGAAGCTTATGACCTAGAACAAGGTTACAAGCTTCTAAGTACATACATAGGCGATAGAAAAAAAAATGCATCAAGTTTCTGCTCGGGTTGCCATGTTTTGCAAACAGTTCTTCAGTTTTGAAATTAACCCTTAAAGTCTCCAAATTTGGTTATTAGCAGCAAAGAGAGTACCAGATCCTAAGAAATATAACAAGGAAGTAAATTTAAGACCTCGCAAGACTTTGTGATCAACGAGTCAAATATGTCAATCTCGACTCACGGGTGCATGTTTCCTGCTCAAGGTTGGAAACATTTTGTCCTAGGGTACCTCAGAAAGTTTCTCACCACCCCTACTAGTTGAAGTCTCGAACCAACATACAAAATAGATGTACGTGATAGAAACGGCAAACTGGTGTGCTGTAAGTGACCAAAGAAAATTATTAGATATTTGAAAAATGGGTGATAAAACCATAAGTAGACAATTTAAGTACAAATAAGGTTTATTGTTGGAATAATGTTATTGGTAAGAAAAGATGCATGTTCTTGCTCAGCAGGCCTTGTGTACTCACCATTTCTTTAAGAACAGAATGTCTCATTGGCATATTGGGCGGATGGGAGTAACTGGCAAAAATAACAAACTCTGGTTCCTTTGGTACTTCAACAAGATTTGCAGCTGGAGTGGCTGGAACAAAATAATAATATACATGTAATAATAATAATATAAAATGCATATTGCCAACTACCAATTGGGCACAAGTAATGCATTCATGTAACATCAGTTTTCACCAGTTACAAGTTATATATATCTTATTAGACATTTTGTTGTGTAATATCGCTGAGTATATTTACGAGTTGTGCCGTATTTTGACGAGCCCATAGGGCGAGTCAAAATATGGCACAACTCGTAAAAAATACTCTGCGATACTACACAACAAAACGTCTTACGAGAGATCCATTGTCCAACACGCCAAATTAATTGTTATTTCAGTGAGAGCGAGTTTTGTGGATCGATATTTCTGGAGTACAAATATCGCGGGATATTTGTACAGGTCTCGCGCATTATTTGTACCTACGAAACGCAGTTGGATAGTAAAGACTGTTCCTTTTATGGTGATATTTCTGCCAAATTGGGAAATTTTCTCGGTGTTACATATAGATGTATTTAATAGTCTTCAATGAATTTGGGAGATGCCGAATTTCTAGTGGCACGCACAAAGAATATTCATTAAAGTTAGTGCATGTAAAAGTCACAAAGTATATTGAGGTAAAAGTGTGTCTACCCTTGTCTTTCTCTGTCTTATCCTTGTCTCTCTCAGCTTTCTCAGGGACTTGACTTTTTTCAGACTTTGTAGATTTTCTCTCTTTATCTTTGTCGTCCTTTTTTCTGCATTCTGTGGTAGGTTGTTTCTTTTCCTCTGGTGGTGGAGTGTTCTCAAGTTTCCAGCGAGGCAATGTTTGGAGTAGCAGTTTCCAGATTTCCCCGGTATGACCACATCTAAGGGGACAAAAATATCGGACATTTTGTACATTCACTCATGTAAACCAGCCTACACGCATGAAGTTTCTTGCAAATGTTTCTCAATGTAACTCATTACTGATGAGAAAGACACAAATTATAATTTGATGTCATACTACAAGCCTTAAACTCCCAGCTAATTCCAGTCCCCCATCCCACACCCCAAACCATTCTGGATTTTATGGAGCATTTACTTGCTCATGGCAGGAGCAGGAAAGCTTGTTACCTCAGTGGGATGATCTCTGGCATCCAGCCTGTTAGGGCATGAACCACAGTGAAGTCACCAAACTCACAGCCATTATAACCACCAGCATAACTATTGAGAAAAAAACAAAAACATGCTTAGAAAATTTAAACTTCACCTAAAAGCATTGCCTAGAGAGTGGTTTAAATGATTTAAATTGCTCAAGTTTCAATCTCTTATTAAATGAAACTTCAATGCTCCACACTGCAACCATTTAGGTCACCATAGTGACAAGAAAAATACTTACATTTTGGTTATCAAATTTGCAGTGAAAGTTACCACTTTGGTGACCACTGTTGGGTGGCCATGCAGCAAGAGGTAATGTCTTTACTTCACTGGGTTTATGGCACAAGGTTAAAGTGAAAAATTAAAAGCATTTGTCCAGAACACTTATTATGCTTTGTCATTTTCTTTTGCAGAATATTGCCTCCTCCTTAACTGTGCAAATACTGGGCCTTAGCATGTCTCAATAACCTTAAAAAAAGGATTGCTAGCCACATTGCTTATATTCAGAGTAGTGTCATAAGGGATTCAATATGTAATGCACTATTACACAAAGTGTTTTTTTTAGGCAACCATCACTTTCTACCTAAAGCAAGTGACACACCTGACGATTTTACATGCTGAACGCAACAATCTGCGAAAATCACTGGGTGTGCTCGGTGTGGTGATTGCGATAAAATTGCCGATATTTGACATGCCAAATATTGGTGATTTTGATTGCTGCAATCAAATTTGCCATGATAGGAGAATAAAATTGCCAGCTAGGTCACCAAATAACAGTGAGGCTGGCTGACAAATTCATTTCATCATTTCAATTAAGTCACCAAATTATGACTTTTGAAAAACTTGAGCTACACTGTAGGAGCCCCAAACTATAAAGAGTGATATCAAATCCCACTTACTCTAATGAAGCCACTTTAATGAGAGCTTTTGACAGCAACATAGGCCATAGTTCATGCTCATTAGGTGAGGCAGGTAACATAAGTTTGCCATCCTCATCAAATGGCATCCAGTCATCAACTGTTACTTTCCGCCATGTACCCTAAACAAACCACCAATCACAGTCACTTGCACTTTAATTGAGTTTAAAAGAAAGCAAACTATTTAATTTATATAAATGGCCAAAAAGATAGTGTCTAATTAGAAACAGGATTTCAGTGGCTCTTGCAAGGTATACTGAGTTGCTGTACATGTCTAGCATGGCCATTCTCATTCTTAAATTGTTTAATTGTTTATGGACTGTAACTTCATCTCAGTTTATAAACATTAAGGTACAAACAAAGAACATGATAACTTGAGCTATCTTCACAGGAAGCACTCGGTCAATAACACATTTAAGACACAGTCTCTCTAAAAATGGTCTTGTGCATTTTGGTTTAAAACTTGCTTTCTTTCAAACTTTGCAAACTTTGCCCATGTATAATCTGTCTTAGTTGTCGAAGTACTTACTATAGGTGTCAGTCATAGGTTAAAGATTCAGAATGTAAATCCTGTACATGATTGAGTCAGCTTTTTGTCAAATGCTGGGTGGAATTTTCAAAAACGTGAATATGTTAGCCAGCTGTGCTAGAAGTTTGCTGAAACCACAACATATTTTCATATTTTCATACTCCTCTACCTCTATTTTAGCCTGAACAAAAATATCATGGAGAAGAAGTTGGACTTTTGTGCGGAGCCAAGATTAAAAGTTGTATAATTTCTTATAAAATAAATTCTAAATAAATAGACATAAATATGTGAAGTAAAAAAATTTCTCAAATAAGAGTTTTGGCAACTTGTGCCATTTTTGATGATCAGTGTTGTTAAATGTGGGGCTTTGTGCACTGAAGCAAGTATTGTTAAAAAAAAAAAACAATTGTTTTGCAACACTTTGAAAAACCAAGGTGGTTTTGATTACTTTCAAACTAAGACAGGTTCATGGTTAGAGTTTGAAAAAAAAATTGATTTTCTGTACTGACATACACCAGACCACTTCAAGGGGGACTACGTCTTAATTATCAAGTGCACAAATCCTCACAACTAAGAATTTAGCAATTGCACAAACAAAGCAAGAAATTGTGGTCGCATGAAAGAGGATCATCTTCCTACTTAAGTACAGCATCCTATCAGAACACATGCATGAACAACATTTTTTCATCTTCAGGGTAAGTGAGGAGTCACGTGACCATATTTTATGTGTCCAACAGTTGTACACTTACCATCCAAAATATTCTAACACAGTACTTTCCTCCTGGGTTATAAACAGGAAGGGAACTCCCTTTAGTTTTTTCTTTTGGCCAGATGTGATTCCACGGTTTCCACGTGTTGTCTTCTAGCAGAGCATCTTTGTCTTTCTCTCCTCTTTCTTTGTCTTTCTCCTTGTCCCTGTCTTTATCACCTTTGTTGCTCTCCTTGGTATCTTTAGAACCTTTTACAGTCTCTATCGGTTCTACTTTGAGGTGAAGTTTCCATAAGCACATCACCTGGCCTATAATACATCGAAGCAGCTGCAAAAACAATCTGTGTCAGAATCATCTACTACTGACAATAAACTATCTCACTCCTTTAGAGTATATGTATATTATATTCATTTAATATATGTTAGAAGGGGGTAAGTTTTTAATTAAAAGAAACTGCAATGCTGCATCAGTGGGGGTGACAAGGTAATTTGGTTTTATCAACTAAGTTGATAATGTAAATTGGATTTAAAAGCTGATTTAAAAGCTGATTTAAAAGCTGACGTTTCAAGAGTTGGCCCCTTGTCAGTCAGTGAATCATGATGATAGATTGATAGATTGAGAGAATATCCATATCAACAATAGAATATTAGCCACAGAAAATTAAGTGCAGGGAGAATGTTAAGCAGTTTTACAAGTCAACAGTTAAAGAAGCAGATGAACCAAAATAAATAAAGGAACCCTCGTGGATGCTGGATGCAAGGTATAATTTCAGGAGGGCAAGGAGAAGGAGGAAATGTTTTACACATGGAACAAATCATTTCCTATTGATAAAGGGTATGGATCACTAGGTCCCAACTACTGTATTTATTTTTCTGTTGAGTTAAACAACAACAAAGTCTAACAAGTATCTACAGTTGGTTACATAAGGGTATTAAGTCATTCACTGAGGTCCACTGAAAGTAAATAAGGATTGGAATCATACCTCACTATTCGTCAAATGATCATTTACTGAAAGCAAATCTATCTCTTCTGTCAAACTTTTTGGATCAACCACAACTGGTGACTAAAGTGGTAAAAAATAAAAAAAGTATTTATTATTGGTGTTTTATTTCAGCTCTTGAAGGTGTTAAATAGCATTCAAAAGGATAATCTGCACGATAATTTTCAGTCATTAAAATGACTTCAAAAGGAGGCGAATGCCAAGACCCAAAATTCAAAGAATTAGGCACTACACTAGACAATAATTTAAGGCTAACAGATGGCTTGACTGTCTCTTATAATGCACAAATCTCCGTAGTATGTAAATTATTGAGAAGTCAATTAAACACGTAGCAATAGTTCAATTCCAGCTGTGGATATTAACAGATATAAGAAACATTTCATCAAGTACCAGCCACACCCTTTATTTTAGGGAATAGGATTGTACAATATGTAGTTTATTGAGTAGACAGAATCATCAGGAATAGACAGTGTAAGACTCATGTGTACCTTTTCCAGCATAAACTCGACAGGTTTCTTCCAGTGATCCACAAAAGACTTAATTGAAGATGGTAAATCTATTCTTCCTTCAGGATCTTCATAAGGATGCTGTGAGAGGCATTGTATTACTTGTAAGTAAAATATAAAAATTTTTCTGCAGTTAAGTGTTATAAAATTCTATACATAATTATATTAAGGACAAATTGTAATGTTAAAGTCTGTAAAATAAAGTTCCTCACCAGATTTGGACTTTTGCCCTTTTCTTTTTCTTTCGCTTTGTGTGATGTGTCCTTAAAATTTTAAAGCAAAAAATAAGTGTGATTTGATTTTATGTGTACATGTAACTAGACTGGAAGAATTAGCCTTATATCGTTACACAGTAAGGGCATATCTCTGGTCATGTTAAAATGCAGACTGCAGACTGCAAACCATGCAGACTGTAATTTTTTTTAATCCTTTTCAGTTTTTCTTTTTTTCCTTTTTTTTTTAACTCTGATTTTCACCTTTTCCTTACTGTTTTGGTAATGTTGGAACAGTGTCCAGTTTTTGGACACCACATGACATAGTTTTATGAGGTTATTTCATGCCCAGGTTGCCGATGAACAATTTGGATGAAATCCCAGGCTCAAAGTTATCTAGCGCGTGGTGAGATGGAGATCGACAAAGAAGGTTGTAGTTGAATTTGCCCCTGTGTTGAGATGAATTTTAGTTTTGTTATATACTCTTGTTAACTCTTTATTTCTGTATTGAGGATGGAAACCAGTGACTCTGATCTAGAGGTAAGAAATGGGCTGAGTGGACGAAGCAAATAACTACCAGGATCTTCACAACACGACCCAAAGAACTTTACAGCGAATAAAGTGCTGCAAGGTAAAATTTACTTTTACTCAGAAATAAGATCCTGCCCATACACTTGCATGCCGTTTTTCTGATAGGACATTACCATAAAGATAAAACATTGATTCATACATTTCATGGAAGCTCCTCTAAAGAAGAGTTTTCATCAAAAATCAACGATAAGAAAATATATATATAACCATGGGTGTACTGTATCAAAGGGTGAATTAGTAAGTAATAAAAAATTCCCCTGTCTACACAGTCTGCATGGTCTGCAGTCTGCATGGTCTGCAGTCTGCATTTTAACATGACCGGCATGCATGTATCTCACTGAGATAACAAATCAACCATTTAGATATTTAAAGGAGAGCTGAGATTGTAACTTCAGTCCCCATGGATTATGTAGGTCGATCAAGTAGCAGAAAAGTGATATTTGAGTTTTACTTTCAACATCAAACCTGGTATTAGTTGTTCAATCTACAAAATTTATAACTTATTAAATGGTCAGGCACAGGACTTTAGAATAAAAATGTACTCTAAATATAAAGTAAGTTGTAACTGTATTGTCACACAATAAACCTCCATACTCTAGAATTTTACAACATACAGTAACTGTACATTGTCTTTGCTATTGAGGTCTTATTAAGTACAGTCTCTTAGTTACCCATTTTTCTTGGCCAATGTCTTGTTCTGTCCACTCAGGCCAGATAACAATGGGCAGTTTGGCCTTTTTGTTTTTTTCATCTTTTTCATTTAGTGATCCTACTACACTAGGTGCCACTGATTGCCTGTAGGAAAAAGAATGCAAATTTTACTGTTAGAAAAACTACTAACTATTACAAATATTCATCAAACCTGTTAGAACAAAGAAACAGCTAGGCTCATACAGTATTGATTGTTAACAACTGATTCTAGCACTGTGGGGAACAGAGTTAGTAATTAGTGACAATGTTATTCAAGACTCTTATTTCAAAACTTCCCACTATTCAGGTTGCCTGAATTTTGAACATGTCACAGATAAAAGTATACAACAAGCAACAGTATTCCAGGAAGTTGTTAGAAAGAATTACATGTACAAACTGATATCTATGCAGTCTTTCCAACAATTACAACTACACCGTACACGATTGTACATGCATACAACAATAAATATACATGACACCCTGCAGTGACAAAGAAGCAATGCTGTAAGTCACCTTCGCACTTTAGCGATCCCAGGATTAAGTAAATGACTCATCTTCCCGACTAAAACTTCTTTCACTGTTTCAAACAAAAGTTCTTGTTTGATAAAGTAGAACTTAGGGACAGTCAAACTCAATGAATTGCAAATAAAATTATTGTCTGACTGTAGACTTATTATCAAGGTGTCTTAGCAACCCAACTATTCCAAAATTCAGTTGAAAAAATGCTGACAAAAGGCAAATTTACATACGATGGCTTCAAAACTTGATGCAAAACAGATTAGTTACTAAATATACAATAACTGAGGAGCTGCTCTAAAGATCTACCAGTTTCTGACAATTGGTAAGGTAAGTATGGTGAGATGCATGACTTAATGTATTAAGAAAAACAAACTGAAGAGCAATTCCTACATCTTACAATTCATTGCATGAATTGTAAGATTATATAGCTTAACTGTAATATATGTAATTATTTTTGAAATAGTCGATATTTTAATATTTAGAGATATTAATTGTAAAGCGCTATTGCTCTGTCATTGTAAATAGTGCTATATGAGAAATAAATTATTATCATTTTTATTATCATGAATAAACTAATCGAGAAAACTTGTAATCAGATAATATCAAAATCAACCATTTAACAATTATTCACCGAAAGGTGAAGTGAGTAATCCCCAAGATGAAGTCAAGGGGATTATTCCACACTATTACCTTGGCCTTTGGCAAATAATTATTTTAGACAGCCCAATTTCTCGAGGGCTTTTGAATTTTGTTTTCAATTCATTTTGGTGTTCAAACCACTCTGTAAATATAAAGCTAGCTTCATGCATAAATTGTAAAAATTCTTTTAATTACTCATATCCTGATAACCAGGTAGTTTACACCAGAACTTAATAGGTTTATTCATCATCATCATCATAAACTTTATTTCATCTCGAATTTTAGAGTAGCTTGTTGGAGCTAATATCTTCGAGAAAACATAAAATGGAGATTATCTATATATATATATATATCCTTACATATATCTGTACAAGATCTAAAATACTAACTATACTAAAATATACTAAAATACACAGTATTTAGAAATATAATTATGTAACATATTGGTAGAAATTAACAGAAAAGTGAAGATAAGCGGGAACGACTATACAAAGATACAGCCTTGGATTATCTTTCTAAAGTCTTTAAATGCACTCATGCGGATATAGTCAGGCAGTGTATTCCATAGCTTAGCTGAGAAGTATGAAAATGAATTAATCAACTTAACACGTCAGCAAAAACATTATGTTATGCAAAACTTAATAGATATTTCTTTTGTGCTCTTCACAGTTGAATTTTCTATTGCATTTAACACTTCTTCTGTAACATTGACAAGTAAAAAGCAAGGCAGCTATTTTGAAATTCAGTGCCTCTGCTTATTATCACCTAGCTTGCATGAGGTAGTCATAGCGAGGTATAAAGCAATCCTTGGCCAATCAGATTGTTAGAATCTCTATAATCACCTGAGAAGTTTATTAAGTAGTTTATTCAGACAAGAACTTCTTGATTCTCGTAGAATCTTATAAGAACTGCAGACTTGAGAAAATTAATTCCTCTATTCAACTATAGCAATTATTTCATACAAAAATTAATATTTTATATGGTGTCAATACTGAGCATTGATAATATTACTAAAAATTCAATCTAATGAATGAATGAATTCCATATTTATATTGTGCCCTTTCTATACAATATTCAAAGGTGCAGTACCCCCCCATCAATTTGATAGGGTGGCCACTACACAAAGATAGACCACAACACTGGGCACTATGTGCCCTACTCTTTTCGAACAGTGTGTAGGTTCTTTAACATCCCACCAATTTTTTTATCACATACAAGGGCTTGTGAGACGGGACCTCCAATCTAATAAATTTTACATGACTGGGCATGCAGGCATACCTGTACCAGCCATATATATATAATGATTTGGGAAGATACTCAAACACCTTGCAATTCATTTGCTTTGCACTCATGGTTTACACACTTTTCAGAAATTCATCTTATATACTGTGGGGGTCGTTGTGCTGATAAACTAACCCAAATTTCAATCTACATGAAGTTCATTTAAACTTAAATGAATCAACATCATCACTGAAAAAGATCACTAATTTCTCTCATGTGGGAATTGAAATATCTAGAAATTAAACTTGATTAATTCTTAGGATTATGATATGCAGAGCTTCCCAAAACATCAACAGTAACTATGTCCAGAGAAACTGCAACATAGTGTTGAGTCTTAACAAACTAAACAATGAGAGAGAGAGAGAGAGAGAGAGAGAGATGTACAACTTGAAAGGTTCATTATGGTGAAAAATTAATCATTTGTCCCCATGGCCACTTCCAAGATTTCTGTAATTTCTTTCTAACTTCATAATTGCTAACAATAAAACAGATAAAATTTTTCTGATAAAGGACTTTTATTAGTAATTGTAACTTTTTCCCAAGACATTGTGAATGATAAGAAAATTGTGACCTTAGGAAAATTATGAAAATAATTCCCACTCATCACTCATGTATATACATAAATGAAAAGTGTGTTTGTTTGTATTGTCCCAAAGCTTCAACAGTAAACAATGGCATTCAAAAAAGGCTTGTGCAAAATATATATATCCACCTTTTGTTATTGGTAGCAAAATAAATATGCCAATTTTGACAGCGAATTGGAATTATGTCAAACCAAATATTATTACAGCCATGTGGCAATACACGAGTTGATGTCGAAGATGAACACCCATATTTTAAAAAAGGTGTCTTAAATAATGCTCTAGATCGAGAAGACAAAGCCCCTGTCAAACCCAAAGGTATAAAATCCACTGGATCAAACAGAACGTACAAATATTGCTTTTGTTTCTGAGATTCGCAGAACTCTAAGGGTTAAACATCGATAGCCCCAGTAAATTGAAAAAAATAATTGAAGGTACATGTGGTCCTACAAGACCGCTGACAGAATTCACAATTTCAATGATTAGTGCAGCTCATTCTCCCAATCGTAAGAGAATATATATTGAGAAAGAGAATCGGTTGATTGACTCCAAAAACCAGATCCCATTCGTGGATAGCCGTAACAGATTTTACACCTTAGGTGAATATTTATGATAACCTACGCGAAGGAGTGAATCCAGCTAACTCAAGCAGGTGTTGCATCTGCTCCTTAGTGAATCAAGACGGAAAAAAAAGAAAATACTCCTTCAACTTGCCTAAACTTGGCGGAGGAGACCGTTGCGAGTCTTAAATCCTTCCACTGGGATCCTCTCGTACTCATCTTTCACGAAATTTTGGAGGGAGCCATGCAGCGACTCCACATTAACTTATTGCTATCACAACAAGAAACAAGCTTGTTTGCAAGCGTAATATCACATTGCGTAGGGTTGACAGCACGTACTTGTTAACGTGCCAAATTGCCTTACGATCGCACGCAAATAGGATGATCTTTTTGTCTAATTTCATTTTACTACTGTTCTCATGGAAACCATCCAGAAGAGCTCTTACTTTGGGAACCTAATACCTCAACAGCACAACCTATAATTAGTGTCGAACGTCACAAAACGTTACCAGTGCCACATTGCATTCAGGAAACAAGTCGCAGTGGCACTTAAGACCATACTCGGATTTCTTGCGTTGTTTTAGTCATGGAACAGCGATCGTGAGCTAAAAAAAAGCTGTGAAATTAGTTCATTATACGTGTGTGAAATCCCGATGAGACCTCAGTTTCTGCACAAAGGCGTTCTCTCGCTAAATGACCTTTTCATCGGGCCGATTTCTTTATTGTCAGTAGGAAAAGGCGAGATAGCCTGGGTAATATATTATTTGACCTAAGTGAAAGCAAAAGCTGAAAATAAATGGAAACATTCGACGGAAGAACCTAAAACCTATTTTGTGTGTATCTTGGTGAGATTGACGTTGAATATTACTGCCTCTAGCTAACTTACACCAAACCTATTATCAACTTTCTACAAAAAAAAAACAGTCTACCCAAACTCTCGATTGAATTAAAATTTTTTAGCAAAGTTACATTTTAAACGAGTTGGAATTCTATTGAAAATACATAGTAGAAATCTAAGTCAAGAACTTTTAAAGATGTCCGCATGGATCGATGTTTGAAGGTCGAGTCATTTAAAACGCGAATTTTGCGAGGCATTGAGTCAAAACAGAAGTAAATTTGCTTACTCTGGCATGGTTCTGGCAGCAGAGGCAACTCTCTCTTTAGATTCTTTCTTCTTCATTGCCTTAGAGGCCATATTTACCCACATTTCAAGTATTAATTTTGGAGACAAAAGTTGATCTTTGACAAAGCAAAGCTTTGTTGTCAAGTCAACCGAATATACTCTCCCCAGTACCACTCGGCCAAGTTCAGCGCGCTGGATTGTGTTCTGCAACAGGTCAGCAGCCTTATCCACAGGTGACCCAGGCTCACTGTTTGTGTACGTGTCACGTACACATGATTAAATAGAGAGAACATAAAGGGCGAAGTTTAGGCTGGAAATTTGCATGAAAATGGAAATAAAAATCAATGAAACTTACCACGCGGGGATTTGTTGTAAGAAGAGTATTTTTCCCGAAATTTCGTGTACATATAAAAGACAACAACAAATCACCACATGGTAAGTTTCATTGACTTTTATTTCCATTTTCAAGCAAATTTCCAGACCTAAACTTCGTCTCATATTTATGTTCTCTCTACAGGCGGATTCATGCTGACGTTATTGTTTACATTTTTGCTCATTTGCATACGGCTTTACAGAAAGAAGGAAGTATGTTAGATACAAATTGACTTCAGGCAGCTAAAGAGCTAGAAAACCTTAGTACATGGTGAAATTTTTAGCTCTTTGGGTGTAATATTCAAGGAGAAATAGTCCATCAAAAACTGCAAAATTTCTGGGTGGCAAAAGCGCTAATGAGCTCATACATTCTATGTAAAACTTGGAGTTTTTAAACCCGTGTTGCACAAAAAGTGTTCAATGCATCAGGCTCGTATTGATTGGCCGAGTTAATCGTACTTTAATCTTTCGATATTCAGAACTGATTTATTTTTAGCTCCATCAGAAACTGAATTGCTTATGCTAATGAGGCAAATTTTGTAAACAAGGATTCCCCTATTTAACCATGTGTACGTGACACAAACAGTTAGCCTGGGTTGCCTGTGCTTTATCTCAATCACTTTAATGTCGAGGGATATGCAAATACTGAAAAACTGGACGAAAGTATAAAGGAGTTGTAGAGTTTTTGGATACCCCAGTATATGAGTCACCACACATGGTTTAAACCAGAGGCTACCGGTTCTCGGTATTTAACGTTTCTCAACATGAAAATAATCGTGAGACACGTCAAGAGAGTACGAATGAAATTAAACACTCATTTTAAGTTTAGTCTACCCACCCTCCCCTTCCCTCCCCCCCCTTAATGTCTACTTACGGTGTTTTCTTAGTCGGCGACGGGGACTCGTTAGTCTTAAGTTTCCATTGCGACAGCCGACTTTTAAGCATCTTTGTTCTTAGCACTTCTGACTGTAGGTTGCTTATCGCGGAGTTTGATCTTGGTGATACGGCCGACGAGCGGGGACTGGTCGGAGTAAAGCGGGCATCCATGCCAGCTTACACCATAGCTCACACGATAGCAGACGAACTCTGCAAGAGATTTTCATTAAAAAGTTCATTAAATAAATCTGATAAAGATCCAAGGAGATTATCCTTTCAGGGCTTAGTCCGGTTTCTTTAGATTCAATAGATTTGCACCAATGCTACGCTATTCTTCCAAGATGGGATGATAGGACATCCAAGGATGATCCCTCTCCCCCCCCCCCCCCCCCCCACAGCGTTTCGTCAGCTAGGTTTCCCTGGCAACTCGCTGGTACTCACTCATGTACTCCTGGCTGGTAAGAGGATAGAAAATTTCCGTTTCTTGCCCGAGAACACAAAAATATGACACGGGTAGGGTTCGAATTGCAATTTATGGAACCTAAGTCCAGAGCACCAACCGAAAAAATGATAATCTTAATTTCATTTCATGAACAAAGGTCAAATAACTTTAAGGATACGGCCATTGCATATATGTAACGAAAAAATGAATTCGCTGTCCAAAGACAATTTATTCGTTTCATTATACTTTAAATTTCAAGGCTATTAACGAAACTAGCCTGAGGAAAAACATGTAGGAAAAATTTAGATTTTTTTGTCATATTTTTGTGATCATCAAGAATTTTAGTCTGAATGTGAATCATTCTACTTTAGCTTTGGAAACGCTGCCCCCCTGCCTTACTTGAAATTGGGTTAAAAAGAATTTACTTTTACCTTTTAGACAGTGCAACTCCGTCCGGCGACTTGCAGCGTTTCGGGCTCGCAGACAGCGAATGACTTAGGCGGTCAGCGCCGTGTACATTAATGAGTACTTTTTAAGATTTCAATATGCTAGTTCTACTTCTAATAAATATTTGTGATGACATGTATATTATATCGATTCGAGGATCAATTTATGAAAAAGAAATTTTAACATCGACAAAAACGATCTAGAAGAGGCTCATCACATACTGCTAACTCCAACTGATGCAAATCACCTTCTTCAATTGATTATTCATTGCGAAAGTTATCGGTAACATATAATTAACAAAGCATAGCAGCGACTTGTAACGCATATCGAATCGTATTTCTCTTAGTTCAGTGGATAAAAATCTTACCATGTTTCTCCAAGTTGCGTTATCAAACGTTGTGCATGATATTTTCATGCAGTCCTAATTAAACCACTTCGTAAACATGTTGAGTTACAAGTCTTACAAAGTTACCCTCAGCTGCGGTGTCAGATAATTTTCATTGTCATAAAACCACCTGCTAATAACTAAATATGGTATAAGCCTCTGAATTGGTGCAAAGTGGAGGCGGGACTTTGGGCTATTGTGTGACCATTAAGTCATTTTGTCACCTTATCGCTGAATTTTATTGACAATTATACTCGATAAGTTTGATGAGAAAAACTGTTTAGGGGCCGACCATTTAACTCTTGAAGGGGGGGTGGGTGATTTTGAAAAAAAATTTCCTGCAAGCGCTTGTTGGAAGAAAAATATTGCATGCAGCCCAAATGTAACAGAAAAAAAAAGGGCATTTAGAACGGAAAAAAATATCCTGCCCAGCAGATTGCTAGAAAAAAAATTTCTTGATGACGAGAAATCACCCACCCCACCCCCTTCAAAAGCTAAATGGCCGGCCCCTTAGTAATAATTGTAACAGGTGATTTTCAAGGACTATTGTTTTTCCTTTTGGGCCTAGAGAAAATATAAGAAATCACAAGGTTTATTTTTTTGATAAGATTGTGCTTCAGGGTTTCAAATTTACTACTGTACATGAACGAACTCTTTTCTAAACCTTCAACTAGTTTCACTTAGAAAAAAAAAAAAACAACAACAAAAAAACAAGTATTTTCATATTAGGTCTGTTCTTGGAAAGTGTAATACCAGTGTCGTGAAGATTGAGAAAAGCATTCAGTGTCGAACTTATTTTCCACAGGTTAAGTTTCTTTTGGCAGTGGAATTAAATGTAACTTACTTTCACTTTGGCCGCAAAATAAAGTTACATGAGGAGATTCCTGGGGTGCACTAAGAAAAACTTTTGACTCTATCTAGGCTCCTAAAAGTTAAAAACGGGAAACTCTTCTGATAAACATCCGCAGAGGTTACCTTCGGGATCCCTTCAAAGAAGAGACGTCCTCTCTTTGCCCTGGGAACGAGGTTGTGGGTTCTTATGGGGCGTGCTGTTTTTCAAAAGTTGGATTGGACTGGATTGGACTGAATTTGACTGGATTCCCTCATTCGTGTAATTCTTGAAACGCTAAACAGAGGTTACATACTTTACAATCCTGGAAGTCAAACGCGGCTGTGAAGCTCCTCAAACTGTTAACACCAGACTTATACCTAAAATGTAAGTGAGTAGGAAAGTAAGCCAATCAAATGTGAGAAATTTTAGCTGAACACACTCATAGGGTTAATGGTTTTGTGGTTTGTTCACATGACCTAATCTCCAATGGAAAAACATATAAATAGCGTTACATAACGTCTGTACCGCATAATTTACCATACATAACACAATGAAATAACACAATAAATATTGCCGGCACATTTTAAATGTTCAAGGTTATCTCAGCTTAGCCAGTTACTCTCGGCACTTGCCTGCGGTGTGAAGATTAATCGTGTTATAGAGGGCCATCTGAAGGATAAAAACTACGAGGAAACGAGAAGGTATTGTGTATATTAGTAACGCGAAGGTATTGTGACAGAAAACAATTATCTTATCTCATTTAGGCACTGAATCTTATTATCTTCTGACGGGTCATTTTCAGGCCTTTGTACCGTAACAAAAATACAGTGCCATTTAAGGCGCGTATTTGCGTTACCTAAACTATCTTTGCGTCTTCAATTTCTCAAAATTGTTTGTGAAATTTTTAGGTACGACGGTAAATCGGGCTCTGTTCGACATGGATGCCTCGCTATTCAAAGCGTTCACCGTTGCACTATTGATATCGTTCGCATTTTCTATGGTACATGGATATTCTTTGACCGTTTTGCACACTAACGACCATCACGGTCGATTCGAAGAAACGGAAACCAACGGTGGAATTTGCTTTCCGAAATTTGCACAAGCTGGAGAGTGTTTTGGAGGAGTGGCGAGGAGAGCCACGATGATAAAAAAGGTCCGAGGTGAAGAGGAAAACGTGTTGCTTCTTTCTGGTGGAGATGTGTTTACGGGGACGCTGTGGTATCTAACCTATCGTGGAAATGCTTCAAGTAAATTCATGAATGAACTTGGATACGACGCCATGGTATGTGTCAAATATGAGTTTTTTTTCCGCTAAGAAATTCATACCGATTCTATTAACGTGATAAGTGAGACATGGCATGCCATCGATCAAGAGACATAGATCAATTGCGAGCCCTTCACACCTGTATCATAGTTTGCTCGCTCGTCGAACTAAGCCGATAGAAAAACGACTGTTTGTTAACTAAAGAAGGAAATAGTTGTATTTCGAGATAAGGATGATTAGAACTCAGTTTCACACCAAAATCTCTTGTTTTTCTCGGTGAGATAGTAATTATTCTGTCTTTTCATTAAAAAAAAATTTTGTTTATTTGTTTATTTATTTATTTATTTATCTATTTATTTATTTTTTCAATCGTTAGGCTCTCGGGAATCATGAATTTGATGACGGTGTTGACAATCTCGTTACCTTCCTAAAAGCGGTGAATTTCTCCGTTGTGGTTTCAAACCTGAATGTCTCCCAGGAGCCTAGCTGGCCTAAGTTGCCTCCGCTCTTTGTAAAGTCAAAGGTTTTTGATGTCGGAGGCGAAAAAATTGGAATTGTAGGATATGTACTGCAGAAAACACCACAGTAAGCATATATTCTAATAACTCGCATAGCTGGCGGAATTACATGCGCAAGTGTTTAAGATTAGAGCACGCGACTTACAATATGGTTAAATGACAGCATTGACTTATTACTTACTGAGAAGCTGACTAGATGTGAAATCAGTGGGAAAGAAACAACACAGCAGACAGTCTATCGCAGTCATTTAGAATGTAGCGCAGCCACACTAACGATAGGAAGCGAGAGACTATTTCAGAGGAGAAGAATGATTTCTTACGCTTTCTCAAATATGTACATGTTTTATACCTACATGGCTAATGCTCTTGAAGTATCCATCATATTTAAAAAACATATTATGAATTATGAAAGTATCTTTATAAACCTTTCTCCAATTTTGTTACATCTGTCCATGAAAGGGTCTCCAAACCTGGCCCAGGACTAAACGTGAAATTTCTACCCGAGGTAGAATCGCTCAAAAGTGCTGTACAGGAGCTCAAAAAGCAGAACATCAATAAGATCATTGCTGTGGGCCACTCTGGTATTGATATGGACAAGAAGATTGCAAAAGAAGTTGATGGAGTCGATATAGTAGTTGGCGGACATACAAACACCTTCCTTTACACAGGTAATGGAACCAAACATTTAAAAAATATAGATTTCCGTCATTCTGTAAATTATACGACATTCACACCTGAGATCTCCCAAAAAAAAGATATTAATTCTCTAGGAAATTCAATATATTTACGACATCCATTTAAGGTGGACATCGAGTTTCGACGCCGCCGTGCGCGGGCGGCACGCTTTGCGGTACAACTAGGTTCCAGGGTTTTTGACTTGCGCGCACTGACTCCTGATTGCATCAGCACTCGAAGAAAATGAAATTCGAGACTCGAGTTACACTTTTGACACCAGAATAATATTTTCTACACTTGTGTCAACTTACAACTCCTTCCGGATTGCGATTTGCATTTTACGCGTGCGACTCTCCGCTCCAGTTCACCGCGGCGGCTCCGCGCGAGTGATAACGGATTCCTCGTTGATGCGAGTGCTTCTGTTACTACTCGCGCCCGCCTACCTTGTCTTCACAGGTTATCGAAAAAGGGTCCTCTTTGGGGTAGTCTGTGGGATTTCTTTTTCTTTAGTTGAGCGCAAGTTCCAAGTCAAATTATCAGGCCGACTTTCACTTGATACTTCCGCTTCATACTATGGCTAAATTGAATTCCATCGCCGCTGTGGTAGCCAATACCTCAGGGACTGGTCATTCTTCATCTCCTGGAAGGGGTCGAAGAATTTTGGTTGTGTCACAATAAGTTCTACCTGATACCCCCTAACACTCTGTAGAATTCTCATGTCCCCCCCCCCACCATTACCAGTCAATTGGCAGTCCCCCGCCCTTTATACACTGTGGGCGACGACTGGTGCCCTTTTGTTCCCCCTAAAACTATGTCATCCTTCCCAAAATCCTCCACCCCTCCCCCCTGGCGATTTGCCTGCGTGCAGACGTCTCCTATTTCCTTTGTTGCACACAGAAAAGAACAATTATTTTAAAATTAAACTAGTGAGCAGCACTTCTGAGAACAGTAGTTGTAAAACTTCTTAACTCTCCGACGCGTTTCGTCTAACTGTCGTAGACTTCTTCAGGGAGTTTTACAAGTATCATTAAACGCCTGTATTCATAAATCAAATGAGTTAAAATTGTAAACTGGCCACCGTAAAGAGTTAAAAAGCTGACGTTTCGAGCGTTAGCCCTTCGTCATTCGCTCTGACGAAGGGCTAACGCTCGAAACGTCAGCTTTTTAACTCTTTACGGTGGCCAATTTACAATTTCAGCTTAGTTGATTTTACCAAATTACCTTGTTACCCCCACCGACGCAGCACCACAGTTTCTTTGAAACTTACCCCCTTTATTCCTAAATCAAAGTTAGCGGCTATTACGGGGGCCAATAACGATAGAGGCTTGGCCGGAATTACGAACAGGAACAGGCGGGCTATCGTTTTAGCAACAAAGGAATTAAATTTCTCGCATGAATCTGTTCGATTTTCTTCCTACCATGCAACATGTTAGGTACGGCACCCTCCACGGAAAAGCCGTACGGCCCATATCCTCTGGTCATTACCCCTGACCGTGACCCTGATGGCAAGGTGTTGGTTGTTCAAGACTATAAGTATGGTAAATACCTGGGACGTTTAAACGTCCAATTTGATAGTGAAGGTAAACTTACTTCCTGGAATGGGAATCCCATACTACTCGACAATACGGTGGCCAAGGATCCAGCAATAGAGAGAGAGGTTCAACTGATGAAAGCTAAAATGACAGAAATGGTAGACGTGAGTATAAATTCTTATTTACGACCTCCATATTTGGCAGCATGGAAAGCTGCCAGGTTAACATTTCGGATTTCAATTCGCTGTGCAAACCTGGAATCTGTCTGGATAAAAAAAAGATAAAGATGGAGAAAAAAATACATCAGAAAAGTCAAAGAAAAACCTGACGTCTCAGAAATGAAGTGAGATGTTTTCTCATCTTGTCACGAGCATGAGACAAAGAAAACAGGTTAGGAAGGCTCTTAATTTTACACAAATACGAGATCATGCAAAATAATGAAAATGAAAAAAATGTTTTTACAATTTAGTTCAAAGCAGGCACAAGTTTCGTCTTCCTCAATGCTGAAAAACCAGACTGTCTTTTGAAAGAATGCAATTTGGGAAACCTTGTCACGGATGCCTTTGTGTTTCACTACACTAACTTGACTGCCAGTGGAACTCATTGGACTGAAGCGAGTGTTGCAGTTCAGAATAGTGGAAGCATTACAGCGTCAATGTTCGTCAATGCTCAAGGTAAAAGTCAACCGAACCTCGTTCCCAGGTCCTTTCTCTTCGAGAAAGAGCTTCGGAGAAGCGAAAAAGAGCGCGAAAGGCGCGAAAGTACTTTCTCGGGAGAGGAAAAGAAGGGACCCTGGGAAGGTCTAGGAAAAGAGGAGGGGTGGAAGGAGGGGTAATTGTCTGATCTATGCGTCACAATATAAGAGGGTTTTTACCCTAAGTAGAAGATTTTTAGTTGTAGAAACATTTTCTTCGCAGAACCGGTTTTAGATCTAATCAAAGTTATCATCCTCAAAATTTTGCATCTGGAAAGTTTTTGGAAACGACGAGGAATGCGAGGAAGGGAACTTTTAAAAAAAATACGATTGTTTACTGCCAGACTCTTTCAGTATTGACAAACTGAAACGAGCTCAATTAATTTCATGCGTCAGGATCTTTCAACTGATTTTTTCCCGCCAATATTTCTGACACAGAAGCTGTCACTTACGGCTACATCGTGAACAGTTTCCCGTACAGAAATACTGTGGATATTGTAGAACTCACAGGCAAGGATCTCATCCTGGTTTTCGAACAAGTGGCTACACTGTACGACAAAAACGACCCCAGCAATTCATTTCTCCAAGTCTCAGGTAAATGTGTGACTTTTATTTTATACAAGCGTAAACATCATTTGGTGTAATTTCAATCAGAAGGCAAAGTAACCAGGAATTACTTTGGTTTTACTGTACTTCGCCCTGAGATTGTTCAAGAAGACTTGTGCCATCCATTCAACCAATCAGATGCGAAACATCGCTCTAGAGCAGTCGCGACTTAGGCACCTGCGTTTTACCGCACTTCAGGTAGTTTAAAACTTATTGGCACTTTGTAATGTAATCATCTATTCTGATTAAAGTGCACCTACACCCAAAAAATTTTTTTCGCTTAACGAAGTAAGCTTATTTTTTT